CAGCTTTTTCATATTTCTCCCATCTGTGATACAGAACTCCAAGGTTTCCAAGATAATTTGCTGAATCTGGTTTCAAGGATATTGCTTTGTGGAAATGCTTTTCTGCTTCCTGTTAGTCATAGATTTAGAATAGCACAGTCAGTGTTCATTGTGCATTAAAATTTGTGTAAGCAATGTTTATTCACATGCGCTCCATTTCAAACAGGGTGTGAAGTGACGACTGACATAACTATATATAGTAGTTAATGTACATTGTGCATATTTTAACCTAATAAATGAGGCAAACAATTTATCAATTTTTTTTTAAAAAACGTCACAATTATTACTGATTTTATATCCAGTAAAAACTATTTGTTTGGGGAAAAAAAAGGATGTAAAAATGAACAGTCTTGAATTAATTTTCATAGAAAGCAATGTTAAAGCATAAAAAAAAGAATAGTAATTATCAGAACGATCTGATATTTTTTTTTGACAACCATAAGTACACATTTTTTAACTTTTTTTTTCACTATATGTAACCGAAAAAAATTATTATATGCGAGAATTTTTTACCATAGGTACAAATGGTAAATGGTAAAAAAAATAGTGGTTTGGTGACCATATATTTTTATCTGGGCTATGTGAATAACAGCCTAAAATAAAACCATTGTGCAAATGTTAATAAAATCCGATCATTTGTTTTAATCATATAGCCAAGTATCTTATGGTGGCAGCAAAGCTCTCGGCAATAATTCTTCATTTCTTCGATGTACTTAAACAACTCAAGATGTGAAATGTACATCACATTGGTACTTACAATATAACCTAATGTAAAATACTTTATTTTAGCTGGAATTAATTTTCGCTGAAAAGACTTGCATGGGTATTTTGTATGCAATTTATTTTCACTGATTTTTGACAAGTTTAATGTAAAATATAGGAAAAAAATTATGTTCGCTGGATTTTATTTTCACTGAATCATTCCTTCAGTGAAAATAGCGAAAATTAATTCCAAGCGAAAATAAAGTATTCTGCAGTATTAGCTGAAATAACCTACTACTTATGTTATACTGTAACTGTATTTACCTCGTATTTGCCTGCTTTACCATATACATTAGCCATAGCAAAATATAGTCCATGTTCATTAGGTAGGTATTGTAAAGCTGTTCTGGCACTGTCCAATGCAGCATCATATTGCTCTAAAATAACACAAATTACAATGCTAACCAGACTGCAGTGGTTGAGGTTGTTAAATGCCAAGCTAAGCCATCATTAAAATCATCATATGCTATCCCAAGTTTGTGTGTGTGTGCTTTCAGCCAAAGAACCACTTTTCTTTGTTCTTTTATTTAGTACACATCACACCTAATATTGTATTCTAAAAGTTCAATGATAATTCTTATGAATAAATTTGTATGAATATTTCTTATGATTAAAAAACATTGGCATGGTCTTCAAACCAAGTTTGATTGAAATCAGCCTGTCATCTCTGATAAACACTATACAAATGTTTACCCCATTTGAATAGTGATTGTCAATGTTGTATAGGTAGTAAATGTCCCTTGGATTCGATTTAATACAAGTCACTGAAATGCTTCAATGAAATAATGCATATGATTCTATTGTTATCATCTGCAAGTTCTATGGGTACTTTAGTTGTTTTTTTAGTAAAACCATGCCCAATGCTATATGGAAAGCACTATAGCAACAGGGGTAAAATGTGTTAACAATTTATCTGTGATTCAGACATTCTCTAAAAGTTATGTCTAAAACAATATTCCTGTGAGATTGGAACATCTTTGTATAACTAAACAATCTTCCAAATAACAGCTATTGTCACTTTATTGTATTACAATAGGTGAAAACTCACTTTAGCCTGTCATCTCTGATAAACAGTGAACACTATACAAATGTTTACCCCATTAACAGAGGTGAAGGTCTATAACATTTGTATTATTATACTGAATAACTTTAAGCAATTTTCCAAGGCACCATCGTAGATGTGTATGCACACAAATATACAAGTTGAAATAGTGCAGTAGCAGTTCAGCCTTTTTTACCTTTTATAAACCTAATTTCAGCAGCTTCAGCCTGACAAAGAATTAATTTATATAAACACACCCTGAGCCACTCTATGTGCAGCTATATGCAACATGGCGTCCCAGTCATGCACAAAAACACTGAAACAAGCTGCACATGGAGCTGTGCACTGTTTAGGGGTATAGGCTCATGTCAACACCATAATGGTGCCATCCCATGGGAAAAGTCCATGACTTTCTGATTCTTAAGTGAGACGAAATGCACAACCACAGATCAAATGCAATTCATACACACCCTGGGAGACCTTCCAGGATGGCCTAACAGTGTGTAAAAAATCTGTGTCTTTTGGTCCAATCCACTGAGACCAATCTACCAGAATGGCCTACCATTCAGTCAGGGCCAAACAAGGGGACTTTGATGGTTTGGGTCGGAAGGCATTAATTCAACCTTGATTTTACGCAGGGTTACTGTATGCATAGAAGGGCTTCTAAACCATTTTGCATGTGCTAAGAAAGTGGAATCTTCCAAAAAACATAGCTAAACATATGAATACTGGATCTGCACACACAGTTCACAGACCAGACTCACATGGTTTATGGAGTAGACTCGCATGGTTTAAGGACTAAACTCACATTGTTCACAAACCAGGTTCACACGGTTCACAAACCAGATTCACATGATATACAGTGCAAATTCACAAAGCACACAGACCAGATTCACAAATCAGGTTCACACGGTTCACGGACCAGGTTCACACGGTTCACGGACCAGGTTCACACGGTTCACAGACCAGGTTCACAATTTTCACAAACCAGGTTCACAAGGTTCACAAACCAGATTCACACGGTTCAAAGACCAGATTCGCCTGGTTTACAGACCAGGTTCACACAGTTCACAGACCAGGTTCGCCTAGTTTACAGTCCAGGCTCACACAGTTCACAGACCAGGTTCGCCTAGTTTACAGTCCAGGCTCACACAGTTCACAGACCAGGTTTGCCTGGTTTACAGTCCAGGCTCACACAGTTCACAGACCAGGTTCGCCTAGTTTACAGTCCAGGCTCACACAGTTCACAGACCAGGTTCAGACCAGATTCACACGGTTCACAGACCAGGTTCACACGGTTCAAAGACCAGGTTCACACAGTTCACAGACCAGGTTCGCCTAGTTTACAGTCCAGGCTCACACAGTTCACAGACCAGGTTCGCCTGTACAGTCCAGGCTCACACAGTTCACAGTCCAGGCTCACACAGTTCACAGACCAGGTTCACATGGTACACAGTGCTGATTCACATGGTTCACAGAACGATCTAAATGATTCACAGACTGGAATCACGTGGTTTACAGACTGAAGAGATATTAAGAGAAATTAAGACATAGGTTATTAGTAGAAGTGTTTCTTACCAGTGTTATCAAGAAGTGCAATGATATTACTCCAAGATATTTTGTGATCTTTTTTAAGATGTGTGGCATTATACCATGCCTGTAAAGCAGCCTGGTGATAACCTCTTTCTAGATACTAAGAAGATATATACCAAGATAAAGTGAAGTGTTAGTAATCCCAAAACTAACAATTTGAACACTACTGTAAGTGTATATTTAACTGATGTGTCCTGGACTCAACCAATGGGTCAAATTACAGGCTGCTACATGTAAAGAGCTAGCAGCTTGAAAATATCTGTTTAATTGAGGACAGCAAAGTCTATGACGACATCAATGAAATAAACACCATATAGAAAAGATAGGGTAGGGTGCTGTAATTTGTCACATGAAATCACTCTCACCTGCATTGTCTAATGTCAAAATGATATTATTCCATGCTTGCAGATGATTATTTCTTAAACTGGTAGCATTTCTCCATGCAAACAGTGCTTCTGAGATTTGTTTCCACTCTAAGTACTATAAAACACACACAACACAAAGAGGCAACAGGGATGAAGCGTCATGCAATGGAAGCAGATAGGCAATGAGATGAGGTAGTGATGCAGCCACAATGCAATACAATGCTTGTCATGATCCTGTTAGCAAATCATTTCATTCTGATTCAAATAAATAAAACATTTACAATTTACATTCCAATAAGTTTTTAGTTCAAATAGCTCAATGAAATTCAATTGTGAATATAAATGTGATGATAATGAG